TTTTTTTTCTTTTTTGTTAATCGTATTTGATTATTAAAGCCTTCGGCGAGTTCAGCGTCGTACGTGTATCGAAAATTCTTGTGCAGTTCTGGATCTGTGATTGCAGAAACGAAATGTAAGGTGATTTTATACGATTTTTCATTGGTCCGTAGTTACTTTTAGCAATGATTACACCAAGATAGAAAATTCCTGTCTAATTCTAAATTTGTAATTAGAGAAAGGAAATAGGGAATCTTTGCCGAGTTTAACGACAGTTGCATCACCTACATATGTGGAAAATTCGTGTGACGAATTCTACTTTAAGCCTTTTTCTTTTTTGTTTTAAATATTCTACTTTAAGCCTTTTTCTTTATTTTTTTAAATATTTCGATTCTAAGCCATTTTTTCAACGAGAAAGAAGGAACATTTACAAGTCAGAAAGCTATTGAAAATGCCTTCGAAGAATTTATTGACGCCGAAACGTCAAATTTTTAGGAAAATAAATTAATAATAATCTTTATAAAAATATTTAATCAAGCAAAATTAAAAATATTTACTCAAATTAATTGATATAAATAGATGACGAATTAAGAGTCATAAAAGAATTAATGAATTAAAAGTTTGTATATTGTAATAAAACTGTTACGTTCGTTTAAAATTAGCGTCAGAAGTCGAACATTTTGCAATACCATGTACAGGAAATAGGGAATTTCAATTAATTTTTAATATTTTTATTGGTTTTAGTAGCAATTAATGATATCAAATTGAAAATTCTTGTGGCAGGCATTTAAATTCGTAATTACACAGAATACGGAATTTAGATAAGAAATATAGCTATATTGATAATAATTTTAATAATTGAATTAACTGAAAAGTTCTCGTGAGACGCGATAGGAATCAAGAAAATGAAATATTAAGTTTTCTATCGTTTTTTAGTCGTAGCTAATTACTAAAGATTTTTCATCAGGTTATAGGATAGGTAAAATGTTATCTAAATGTACATTTTCATCGTCGGAATGTAAGCTAAAAAATAAAAGTAACGTACTGTCGAGAATTCTATCGGTTTTAAGATACGTTTACGCTTTTGAAATTCTTTTTGTATAAATTGATTTGTCGTTGATTTGATCAAATCTTTTCGAAAGACAGGAATGAAATTTAATACAGAGTATCAGTTTGTAAAATCATTGGAAGTATGTATATTCTAATAATAACAACTAAAGAACTCTCTAGTTACTAAATAAATATAAATTAGCAATAATTAATAATTTTGGTTAAAAAACGATAATTTTTTAGCCAACTTGATAATTTGGGAAATGTTTTTGATAACGAGAGAAGAAATTGTAAGCTTCATGTGGAACTTTGCTACGATATCCAGCTGAAATAGTAGCTTTAGCGATACATAGATATAGAGATACATAGTATAGAGATTGCAAAATTTTAAGAATTAATTTCAGTAATTTCAATAGAACAGCGGAATTGTAAAGCGGAATGTAATGTAATGTGGAAATGTGGAAAGCAATCACGAATTCTCTCAGCGGTGTTATTATTCATGATTTTAGTAATGCAGGAAAAAGTCGTAAAAAAAATTTTTATAATTCTATCTTCGATAATTCTATCTTCCGACCAGGACAGTTAATCAGTTGTAACGGTCAGTAATGTACACAGTTATTAGATGAGAACAAGAAGAAGAAGAAGAAGAAGAAAAAGGAAAAAAAAAGCAGAAAAAAGTATCAAGCAGCCAATCGACAGTCAGTACCTTCAAGGAGGCTTTGGTAACGAAAGTCTTGCCACACTGATCGCACCTATGATTCTCCGGCGCTGCTTTGCCACGTTGCACGCCATCCTGATTGACCTCCGCGTCGTTATTATTGTTATCACTGTTGACAATGACTCTCTCAGCCAGTTTATCGTCGATCCTTGCCTCGTTCTCCGGCTTCTCGGCTTCCACGCTGGTTGAACGATCGATTTTGCCAATTGACTCGATCGTGTCGCACAGTCTGCTAACGGGATGGGAAATCTCCAGCTTCTGCGGCGACTGTGACAACGTTTGCCCGAAATAGCCATCCTTTCGGTTCACGTTCGACTGATTATTCTCCGTAGCGCTCGATAACGATTTCGTCGCCGTGGATATTACGTTTTGAGATTGTATCTCGTTGTTCCTGACAACGTCGTTGCTCGACAACGGTGACGAGATTTGCGCGATCGTCGACGACGATGGAACTTGAGGCGGATAAAACTCTCGAGGCCTCGGCACCAATGTGGAACTCGGTTCCAATAGTTTCTTATCGTTATCGTGCGTCACTTCGTGAACAGTAGGAACTTCGACGTCGTAGTAACGGTCCGCAGGCGTGACATTTTTGAAGGATTGTCGACTGGGACTCGTGGAGATCGCTGGAGGTCGCGTGGCTTCCACCGCTCGTTGACTTTCCCCGGTTCTCTGTAACAAGATCATACCGGAACCGTTACGATCCCCTCTTCAATCTCACAACTTTGATCTACATTTAACCTTATCAGGCTGCATTTTTTAATTGCACATTGTACATGGATGCGCGTTGCGCGTGTAATTCATCATCCGTGATTTACTCGAGCATAAAGACGGTACGGATTTTTTGCTTGTTCCCCGCGAAACCCTCAATTATCATTAGAGAAAATCGTCGGAAGCAATTAGGCTCGGAGAAGTGTCGGCTGGGCCGTTAATCATCGATTCGTAATTTTCTAATTATTATTCTCGAGTTACTGGACCCCCCGATGTAACCGGCGATCATCCATCATTCTAATAATTTACACATGCGCGATACGGCAAGGAAAAGTTTTTAGCGTAATTTATTAGTCTGATAACGCACCGACGGGATTCCAACAGATACAAATCGATGCGTATCTAAATAAGTGGAGTATCTGCGCGCGAATGCATGTAGATTTCATTTATTTGTATTTCGCCCCGTTCATGATCAATGAATGTTTATTCTGATCGCAGCTCACGTCGACAGATCAGTCGGGAATAAAAGAATTTTCTAGGAATTTTTAACTAAAGGAAGACGGCCGTGAGTTCGTTATATTGTAATGACAATTAGTTTGTGATTAATTAGACTGCGGATATTCATAAGAATTCGTTTCTCATGGACATAAATAAATGGATAAATAAATAAAAATCCTAATCTATGATTCATTAGAAATCATATATAGTTATATATTTATATGGAAATGTATAACTATATATTTGTTTTACTTACTAGATATTAGAAAATATATTATTTTGAATATTTTATATATTATTTTATTATATTTACATGTTATTTTATGAATTATTTTATATACATTTTGAATGCTTTTGCATTTTTACGATATACGCAGATTAATTGCAAAAGTCTCTCATTCATTGAAAATGCTTACTATACGTATTATATATTAATTCATTAAAAATCAAATAATAATTCCTTGATAGTTCATGAAGTTACAAAATTAAAAATAAAAAACTAAAAGAATAGTAAACTAAGGTGGTAATCTACAGTACTAAATCAAAAAAATAATAGTAGCAAACAATAAAGATAATAAACAGAATCTAAATTAGTAACAAAAAAATATTAAGAGAATTTTTGAAATTTCCTTTTATGATCACACTGATGATTAAAGATATGATTAAAGAACAGAATTCATTAACGTTGAAACAAAATTGCAAATGAAAAATGGAAAAAGAAAAGCAAAGAAATTACATTAACATCCTATACGTATTTTTCGTTTGCAAATAGACTCAGAATTGATCATTTTTAATCATTTTCTTACTCCTATATTTTATGAATTATTTAAGAAATTTTTTAATAAATTTTTGATGATATGTCGCAACGTGAAAAGCAAATAACATTATTGGTCATATTGAAGAAGAGAATAAAAACACGATAAAGATAGTGTTAAAAATTTAAACAATGTGAAACATTGAGAGATGTTTAAACACGAGATTTTTCAAGGAAAAACGTTCCACGTATTTCGCAAATAAAAATCCTGCAATCTATTTTCTGCCAATAATTCCACTATCAATCTTCGAAATCATATACCCAGTTTTTCTTAATCCCCAAACTATCAATAAGGGATCATTCTCGATCCAATTTAATAAGTTATACACTCCTAGAATTTTCCGATAACTTCTTTTCTCGACATTTACGTAAAAACAGAACATTTTTTTTTACATTGTTTTTCATAATAATGTATCCCGATAAATCCGTCACGGTTGTCCGACGGTTTAAAAGAAAGGTGCGCTTCGTTGCACCGATAAGTAAAAGGAAAAAGAAAGGTGCGCTTCGTCGCGGTCGATAAGTAAGAGGAAAAAAGAATGGTAGAGAAAAGGAGAGGAGAGATTTTGCATGAAGGTACACGGGACCAGATTGCGCAAGGTAGTAAAGTTAATCAGAAAAAAATCTGGAGCATATCAGTGCACGTGTCGAAAGAGAAAACGCTCCTCTCCAGATTGCGTGTAATAACATGTAAAAACAATTCCAGCAGCTGGCTGGTGCCACCAGCTGGTCTGTGCCACCTTCTGGCCCATCCTTTTCGAAAACGAAAAGGCGAAATTAACAAAAAAAAAGGGAGGGGGAAGAAGAGAGAGAGAGAGAGAGAGAGAGAGAGAGAAAGTGAAAAGAGATGGAAAAACGAGTAAAAGGCAGTGGCGTGTAACTGATAGTTTCATTAATAAAAATGACATTGGCCAAGAAGCAAGACGGGGCAGCTGATGTCGCGGACACGTTTTTATCACCTGGCACCATCGAATTATCGTGTATCGAATTTACTAAATGAGCCTGTAAAAAGTGCACATCCGGAGGTGCACTGATTCCTCTGAATATTTCAGCTGAAGAAAGCAAAATGAACGGGGCTGGCATATCGAGACGCGCACGGTTTAACCGCGTGCTTTCATTTGTGGTGAAAGGTCGATGAAGAATAAAGTGGGTCCCTGTTTGTTCCCTCGGCGCTTCTTGCGTCTTTCTTGTTTCCATCAGAAATCAACAAGCGATCGGACTGTGCAGGGTGGTTTGCGAATCGGTCACTGCGATACTTGTAATTAGTCTGCGGATTTTCGTGCAATTTTATATTATTACGTGCTGCTTGAATCGATATTTGTTTCATCAAATATTTATACATTTTTACATATTATATATTGCACTTTTGCAACCTCGTGACATTCCTTAGATTTTTCGTAAAAACAACTGTGGAACTATGTATGTTCTTTTTCATAAAAAATTAAATCACGTTTTTCAAATGATATCGCACAGTTGTTTTATATTCACGTAAGACATACCAGACTGATCGACTGAAATTATAAATTATAAAACTATCAAAATTGTCGAAAGAATTAATTATTGTTAAGTTTATATTAATAAATTGTGAATTTTAAACGTTATATTTTGCATGAATGTCAGAAAAATTTGCAATTGAAGAGTCATTTTTTACACACTGATAGGTCGATTAAAAAATTCATAAAACGCTTGAAGATAAATATTCAATATTGAGAATCAGATTGCAGATGCATTGGAAGAATATTTAAATAATTACATTTTTAATTTATATTTTTATTTTTTAATCTATACTTTTATGAATATAATAAAAAAATAAAATTTGAATTCGTTTTGAATATTTATTAAAGATTAATGAAAATTTATATATATTTATATTGCATATATTTTGCATTTTTTAATTTTTTAAAAACCCGCGTTAACAACATAAATGAAAAATTCATCAACGAAACAAATAAATTGCCAAGTAAATAAAAAATCATAAGTAATATTACGACTACTGTATTGAAGGCTGATATAAATTCCAATTAAACAATTTCTTTCTCAACGAATCGAAACTGTAATTGACTTTCTAGTCAATAATCAGAATGATAGAATAAACAGACAATACACTTCATTGAGAAGTGAATTTTTGTTTGAAATATTTTGCGATGCTTCTCATAGAGAAGCTTTTAACATCACGTTTTGTAGAATCAAGAAATTGCATGCTTCAACGATAGACCAATCAAGATAATAAAATAACTAGTGGTTGAAAAGCCTTTAACATTCGACAATTTAAAATAAATTTAAAATAAATTGTCGGCCCGGAATTGCTTCTAGCATGACATACTCTATCAGATCGAATGCGTGAAGAAGATAATTGTTTGCAGACGATTAACGGAGGCCTAGTTTTGTCAAACGATACTATCTCTAACGACGTGGCGCCTTGACGGTTCAAAACAATTTCTGCTCTACTTGCATCAGCAACGAAAACATTCTTTTTTTTACGATTGACACGGTAGATAGCAGATTTCAGTCATGAAATGAGAAACAGGATCGGCAAAGCTACCGAACGGGTTAACCTTTTAACCGAGTGATTCAGAGAATGACCAATATTTCATGTTCTCCGCATGCGCACACTTGAATCAATAAGAGACCAATTTGTATCGATTGCATTAGTTGCAAATTCGCTTGCGAGAGTAACTAGTCTAATACAGGATGCGTCTGGATAACATGATGTTACGCCAAAAAAATAAAAAAAAATAAAAAAGACGATATGAAATAAAATCTTTCGATTTGAGGCTTCCTTTTTGAAAAACATCGAGCCTGAAAGCAGCGAGAGAAAGAAAGAGTAATTGTGAATGAAATTCAAATGAAATTATTTGACTTATTGATAAAATGACGAACGACTCAGAATCGATGATTTAAGAAGTAGTTGTTTCTTTGACTTCAAGATTTCTTGCTTGTTTCTAATAAACGCGTATAAAATAAATACTGGTCATCTAGTTTTATGCGCTACGATGTTTAAAATGTTTAAACTGTGAAACTTACAGTAGCATGTTTGACTTCCAATTGGAGAAATATAAAATCGTTACGAGAAGATACCGCAGCTCTACGTTGCGGAAATTAATTATATTGCTCTGCGTTGAAAATTAATTGTATTGATTCTGAGAAGCATAGGATGCAATTCTGTTCCAAGTGTTAATTACCGACTGAAGAAATATGTCGGCAATTAAAGCAACAATCTCGAGCTTTTGAAACGCGATATACCATTTAGTTGATCTGGAGAGGAACACATTAGAGAAGAAATCGGACTCCGGAGGCGTACATTGAATAAAGCTAAAATTTAATACCGTTGCGAGAAGACAAATGGTTGAATATATTTAAAACGTCTAAGGCGGTACAAGCCGTGATCGCGGACTTTCCATAAGTGTTTTATATCTGAAACGGGGACGATCTCGAGCAGTGCAGACGGTTGAATGTTATGCAACGACCCGAGCATGTTCGAGAGATCATCAAACGCGAGAAGAGGAGGAGGAAGAAGTAGCGAGCGAGCGGAATGCCGAACGCGTGATTTCACGTTAAGGATTTACAAAACGAACGAAAGGGGGAGGAACGAAAGAGGAGTCGCGGAGCGTGTGAAATAAAAGCAAAGGTAAATTAACTGGTTAGTTGATTTTACGACGGAGCTACGACCGAAACTGCAAGAGAGTCCGTTTGCTTAACGGACCGTTTAATTTGAAAAAACACACTGCCGCGATAATTCTGGAAAATAATTACAGGAAAAACAGAGGAGTTTGGGAACGTTTCGCATGCGCGGTCGGCCTACACCGGTTTCACTCGATTAGCCTTTGAAACGACTCATCCTACCAACGCACAATGACGCGCTAAACCATCATGGCGAAAGAATAATGCAAGTATTTTCACACTCGTTAATCTTTCGCTGCTTCGCTGAATCGAGCCACTGGCATTTCTAATTTCGTAAACGAAGAAAAGTGTCCCGTGATCTGTCAAGATTTTGCTTCCGTTCGATCATTCGAACACCTCCATTTCCGGTTCGATAAATCTTATTCTGTACGTGAAATTTAAAGATGGAGTGTCCTGTTTGAAATGAAGATGTTAGATTTCTCGATAATAATAACTTGATTGACAACAAAAAAAAAGTAGATATTGTTAATAATAATAGGGAGAGACAGCAATTGAAGGGATATTATTTTGAAATTATTTTATACGGAGGTATAAAAAGTTTTCTATTAAATTTTATAAAGCCGTTCGAAGCTTTATATGATTAGTAATTAAGGAAAAAGTAAAATTATTAATCCAACGATGTTTTCTCTCTATACATAATATGAATAGTTTTAAATCGTCAATGCAAATCATTTGTAAATGAGTAAAAACTCAATCTGAAATTAATATTTATTCAAACTCCAAATCTTTCATCATTGAAGAATGACAATGACATATTAAAATGCAATATATTTTGTTAAAATAATAAATAACGAAATATTTTCGTAATTATTAAAAAAAGATGCCAGTTTAATAACGTTGTCTCTATGATAGCATGCATATGGTAAAAATCTAAATCATTTTATTATCGAACGATACGTTAAAATATATTAAAATACAATATATTTATTAAAATATATAGATAATGTAAAGTAGTATTCTGTCATTTAGCAACTCTGCCTTCGTGATTAGCTTCCATATGGTAAAGAGTCTCGAAGAATGAGAGCGCAAAGTCCCTCCATCTTGATCAAAAGCCATAGTAAACAAGTCACTTTCTGTACGAAAGGATAGCGATTGCTACCAAGCAAGATTAGTAACCTGATCTGGCCGAGATCCGTGTGTGCGACGTGATGTAACAATATGAAGGCACGGAACGGGAATCGGTAATTGTATCTGGCCGATAATCGACCGAACAAATTCATCGAGTCTTGTGCAACTGAAAATCTAACATGTTACGAAAAACCTCCTCCTCAGGCATTGGATCACGCCGAAATTTTCTCCGGTATTTCGTCGATCCTCTCCGAGCATCGAAAGATGTTGTTCCAATTTTCTTGAAAGCGGTGAAAGGGAGTATGTTGACGTTATCTTTCGCTCTTCTTCCAACAGAAACAGAACAGTCGCCCGGAAAGGATAAAAGATGTCAAAACTATTACATCTTCTAACATGAAACAAGGAGGAATAAAACGAACGTGTTAGGTTAAAAAACACAACTATGTGGAGTTTGACTGACTGTCCTAAGTGCAGTGATTACCTTGGCCTATCATAAAATATCCTAAATCTGATATTATATTTATATTTATTATTTATCATTTATACTCATATTTATATTTATTATATTTATTATATTTATTATATATTTGCCCAGGAACCTAGTTAATCATTAACTCGAGAAACATGCGTGTAGCTGACCCATCAAATTGAAAGACGCTCGAGCCAATTATCGGCTGTCGAAAGAATAATGCAAGTACTGAAAATACGACAATGAAAGATTATATTGGAGTCCTTCTTTTACTTTCTTTCAAAATTCGAGAGAACACAACCAATGTAATATTTAACTGCATTTAATTATATGGCCTAGATTCATTTACTAGAACATCTGTATACACAGATATTGCAAGTTCCTGTTTAGTTTTCCCTACTATCAAACTCATCCGGATTGTGCAATCGGATATCCCGGGAGCGATTAGTTTACGAGATAAATAATATTCCGAAAGGATAATAAATACCACAGTCGAATGTAATGGGCACCTTGAAACAGAAATCTCGCTTCGTGTCTACCTTCCAGCTATACGAGATGTTTACGGAATACTTATTCAATTTGTATCAGGCCAGTAAATGACCGCGGCGGCCATTTAAACGCCATCCAAGTACTCTGCACAACGAAAATTACCGCTTGCTCTTGAAGTGATTGTACTTTGCTCAGTGTTCGAACGTACATGGTGTATGAATTGTGGGTGAGAATACGACCGATTTACGTTAACGCCACGATAGACAGACAGATTCCCATGTACCTGACATTTCTTCGGTTACAAAAGATTATCGTGTGCTTCGTCCAAGTATCGATTACACGCCAGTCACTCACAATTAACGTCTCTTGCTACGCGATTTTCCCTTCTTAACGAAACCGTAATCTTCTCTGCCAACTTTCGCAATCTGTTTCGCGTAGGGCAAGCTCGCAGAGACGATCGTGTGAAAGAATCGAATGAAAAACACTTACAGCATCGTCGACGTGAGGCTGAAGCACTATCGGCTGTAACTTGGGCAAATGATAGGGCCTGATAGTTTGCTTCCACGGCGAGGCTGTGACTCTGTTGGCCACCTGCCTCCTCGGTGATTTCCAAACGAAACAGCTTCCACGGCAAGTCAAATCCTCGCCAGGGTACGACTTCTCGCACGATCCGCCACGTTCCGGTAGCTGTAGAGCCACGGTTTTACCCTGACAGGGGCTGACTCGAGGATGAATCACGCTAAGACGTCCTCCGGGGATCTCCTGATCGTGACAGCCACCACAGGCGGATAGATCCTTCCCTAGAGCTTCCTCTTCGTTCGTAGCCTGGAAACGATTCCGGTCCTCCCTCGTTCTTGCCTCGAGTGGATCCAACTGCCTGTTACAAAGGTCGTACAGGCTGCTGGTGAAGCAGAATTCCCGCTGGCAAGTCGCCTCCGTGGAGTCGCAGCCAACGAACGAATTCTCCGCGTGTCCACTCGCCGTGTCGCTAATGCTATCGATTCCAGGCATTACGGAGATCGGATGATACCGTCTGACGTCCTTATCTACGCGCTGATCCACGCTGCTGTGCGCGATCTTTTCCTGAGCGGCGCTCGCGAAAGGAGGAACGGGCCAGGTTGTAGAGCAATATCTGCCTGGCCCGTATCTCGGCCCGGTAAAGTTCATCGATTCAGGAAGCGGTCTGATTTCTCTCGCGTTTGCCAAGGACTCGATCGCCGGATAGGGTTCCACCTTGCTCGCGGGATCTCCATCTTGATTCCTGCGCGAATGGTACCAGCGCTCGCAGCACGGATACTGATCGCACTGCAGGTACTTGGGGCTGATCTTCACGTCCTCGATGTCTTCTTGCTTGCAGTCGGGCTGCGTGCAAGTCATCACGACTGGCACCGGCGGAAGCCTGATGTGGAGGGCCTCGGCGGCATGCAGGAACGCGTCCAAACGAGGACGTGGCACCGTCGCGCTTCCTGTGTACACGAAGCCGAGGATCGCCGCCAACTCTGGCGCCTCCACTCCGGCCAGGATCACCGTGATCGGCTCGCAATGCGTCGACGTTCTACTATGCGCCAGCAATACTTCCTGAAACCAGAACAGTTCGGCTCGGTTATTCAAAGAGGCGCACGAAGGTATTTATTTATGGACGATGCGAACGATTCTGTTGGACGAATGTGAAATTTTCGCTGACCAACTTGTCGAGATTCGCGTACGGGTGAATTTAAATTCCGCGCGCGCGTCGCGGAGACCTCTCTCGGCCCTCGGGTTAAAGGTCAGAGACGATCTGCTATCCTAGTTGCTTCGTTTTCTTTTTTTCTTTTTTTCTTTTTTTTTTTTTTTTTTTTGAGGTTTTAGAATTCCGCTTTGGTAATTTTGGAATGAATTTGAATGAGTGGACAGTTATGATCTCACGATGATGAAAGTAGATTCTGGTAAGTGAATTATTCAGTTGTTTTTTGGTTTACTTTATCTTGTTCTTGATTATAAGTTTCGTTTGGGATTCAAGCGTCTTGTCAAATAATTAGCGCAGTTTATGCAATTAATTTACTCTCCATGTTTTATATATTTTCGTGTATTATATGCACTTGGTAGATTTATGCAATTTTAAATTTCCCAAAAATTAAGACGCTTTTTGTTCCTTTCAATAAGCTTCATATTTTATTATGATAACAATCGATTTGTTTGAAATTAGTCAAACTCTCTACTGGATTAATCCTATTAAAGGTGGGAGAAAGATTACGTGAAAAGATTATAGGAATTTTTGCCTTAATCATTGCCTTAATCAATAAAAGAAAAATTGGGAAAATGAAGTTAGTTTAAGAAGAAAAATCTGCTTTCCATTGGATTAACTCAATAAAAACTCGCGACTGACTCAAAATTAAAATCGATCCTAGCTGTCACTGAAAATATTTTAATGAATTACCAAATTTCACCTCGTAATTTCATTCGTTTAACTAATCTCTGCGAAAATTTTCAAATCTCTCCTCAAAGCCTTCTAACGAATAGTTTTCTTGAAACGAGAGCGAGATGACTATCGACATTCTCGAGATTAAAACGTGCCTTCTTCCAATGCTACCGGACACACAAGTGGAATCGACGCGAGTTCTCTAAATGGTTCGCCTGGGTCGCAATCTGCGTGCAATGCAAAACGTTCAACGACGCGAACGTTATCTGGGATCATAAATCTTGAGTATAGAAGAACGCAGAACGATCGTGCATTCCGAATTAGCTGAGAACATGCTGACAGTAAGCCAGCTGAATAAGAAGACTGCTCGAACTATCGGCCATGTATGACTATAGTTTGCAATGTTTCGTGAAAAGCAATATCGCATTTTGCATAAATTACCTTGGATCAGAGAGAATTGAATATTAAAAATTAACAGCTTCAGCGTGATAATATAGAACGGCACATCACATTAAATTTAGTATAACATCAAACAGTAATGCAGAAAAAATGTTCAAAAAGTATCTTGACTAACGGTATATAATGTAGTGAAATTATCGACGCGTGATTTAATAAAAGCACGTGCAATTACGCGAAGTGTATGTTCGTTGATTTACAAGAACCTTTTCAACGCTTTTATAGCTACTCTAAAATTATTGAACATAATTCCAGATGATTAACGTTCATCGGTTAGCTCGAAGATATTATCCTCTTCCAAATATGCAAAATACATGTAAATACTCAGGAAAAGATGCGCAATATACTTCATGCAGGATTGGGCATAATGAAAATGTTATGTGCTTTTTCATTACAGTGCAAAGCACTTCATGTACTAGTTTGGATAATCCTCGACTGCAAAGAGATTGATCCTGTTAAATGTAGAGCATGTTGCAGTTTCAAAAACAAACAAAGTCCCTTATTGTTGTTTTCCTTTTCTACATTTCGTCGCATAATTTGTTAAGAAAGAAATTTCTCTTTTCGCTCATTAGTGAGAGTGGTTCGATTTTTGTAAGACAGAACAGCTTGCGACACAAATGGATACGATATATTTTTCTCTACTTTTGAAAACAAATAATTTCTTCTTCCTTTACTACATAGAACAAATTGTTTTGCGATATAGGACACGTTTTCTTTACGTTATATGTACATATAGATATTTTAATATATGAAATATCATTCCCCGTGAATTTATAAAGATCAACGCGATTAAACTAAATATAAATAAGTCGCATTTATATACTCCAAGCACGTGCATTAAATGATCAATTAAATGTTTAAAAAAAAAAAACAGGCATGCAAGGTAAGAAATTTTGATTTGGTTTTCTAATAACAAAAATAATTGGACGCATTATTGCTATCTCGTATCAAATATAATATGTATAAAAAAGACGTATAACCATATTTGTATCGTGAGAGATAATTTACTTGCAAATACGAAGAGAGTTAAATATAAATGTAGCTTTGGAAATTGGCAGATTATTACAACGATTTGTGATAAGAAAAATTAATTGGAACTTCCAGGAACCAGAGCGTTTAACACTCGTTCTTCACGGTACAACAATTTTCAAAGATAAATCGGCAGATATCAACGACGTTCTTTGCACGTATCACCGGACGCATAATTATTCGGCTAATTTTCTATCGAGACAGGACCGCGAACGATAGGACGACGTAAGTAATAGCGATCGTTAAAGAACCGCGGCAAAGTTTTCTTTGATGCGTTAACCAAGTCGACAAGGCAGAGATGAAAGGACAAGCACGCGGATGCAGAAAGGCCATCGATCGATTTCGTACTCCGTGGAATTTCGCAGTATTCATATGGATACAATTATCTAACCCGTAATCCTGTTCTTTCTTTTCTTTCTACTGTTTTGTTTATTTGCTTCTTTTATCATCACTCGATCCTCTCTCTGAATATAATTCTTCTTCTATCTAGATAATACTAGGAGCGCAACACCTGAGAATTTCACGAATATTCCGAAAATAATTGTTGCATTAATCTGCATCGCAACTGGAACGATGCGGCAACATGTTCTTCCCCCATAATTTGTTACAAATAAGAACGATTAAAAACGAGAACTACTTGTGGAGATTTTTGTAAAAATAACACACTGCCGGATAGGATTATACGTTCCACAAATTGTTTAACGCAAATGTCTATAAATCGTGACTAGTTCTTTATTTCTAGGTCTATGTAACAATTTTTTTGTTATCGGTATGTATAATGGGATACTATTCAGATAAACAAAAGTGGATAAATAAACGTGGAAGAAAATAATTTTCCTAAATTTAGTATATCCAAGACTATGGATGCATTTTTGAGAAATTGAAGATTTTTAAAATCTACAAAATTTGTATATTAAAAAATCTACAAAAGTATATACAAAATATACACAATTATATTCATAAGAATATAAAATTGCATAAATTTTGGCAGTTTAGTAATATTAAATTATGCTTTCCTTCGATTCGAAAAACTTTTCTAAATAATCGTAACAGTTCGTTACAGATAAATCACAGAAGAACATTTCATTGTGATTATCATAGAAAGTAAATTACAAAAAATTTTGAAATGTAAGATCAGCTTACGTACTGCTGAACAAAACGTAATACGAACAGAGTAACAGAAAACAATTTATCATTCCAATTAATAATTAGAATTAGCAACAGACTACTTTTCAGTTTTCGTAAGAAATCAAATTTTATTCTCCTCGCACTTGTTACTTTTTACCAGCTTCTTTAGCGAAACACTATGAGAGATAAAACACGATAAAATTTTATTTCGATTAATAAACAATCTAATAAAAATGAACAAAATGATTCCAAGGTTTTATACAAGAATACGTAGACATATAAATATAGTAAGAACAGTTTGCCTGCGTTAAATGTAGATTCATTTTTGATTTGATTCATGTAACTTCGTTGCATTTCCGACATTTTACAGGCCCGGGACGATCAGATAGGGTAATTAGTATCGGTATTAAAGCTGGATATCAATAAATTTACAGATTTTACGCTGCTCTATTTTAAATTAACTACGATGCACCCGTCGCCGTTCGTTCACCATAGAATATACATGGCGAAGATTAAATACACGCTATGTAAGTACACGTTGAAAACTTGTCACGTTCTCCTCCGTCCAAATACTTTCTTTTGCGTGAACTTAATGTGTACGCCGTTTAATTAGATGCATAGTCATAAACCTTATCGGATACGTTATCTAAATTATAACAATGTTCCGAGTATGATGCACAGAGATACACCTTCGAGATTAGTATTTCAACAAATTATCAGGAAAAATTAAATTTACTGTTTGATGGACAAATTTTATTTACTGTAATAAAGAAAGAAAAACTGGACTTATGTATAATAATTTTATATGATAAAAAAATCTTGAATCCTGTTATTGTACTTCATGGATTTGATTTTGTAGTACAAGTCAAGTTACAGAAATTAAAATAGGAATAAAATTGTGTTGAAATTCTTTTTATTTCTGAAAAGATAGAGCTCAAATTCAAATATATTTGATTTTGCACATTTGATTAATTTTTGACTGGATAATTGATACTTTTTTTCACCCAAAATTCTATTTTCGAAGAAATCAAATTTCTAATTTTGTTTATTTGTTAAATGCATGTTTGCTGGACTAATTCTTGATTAAAATTGTCCAAACTCTATTCATTGATAAACGACGTCTGAAATGAAAAAATTAGGTTTGCAATAATCTTCTGTAAATTACTTGCTTTCGTTTAAGCAAATTAAAAAAAAGTTCTTGTTACCTCAAGTGTACTTACAAATTAAGTGGTGACCAATTTTCTGGAAATTGTTTTAGTATACATGAATTGCAAATATTTCGTCAAAGATTTATATAAAATAGAAAAAAAGTTCTTTATTTAAAGTCACCATTTTCAAGATCAATTTGTGAAAATGAAACTCAAAATTTTGTTAGTCTTGATCTTTATCTTATTTTGAGTCGTGTAATTTTCCTGAATTCATGTGTATCATTTGGTACAGAGTGTAGATATATTATTTGACAAATTTAGAAAAAATGGTACAATTCTTTAATTACGAAATAATGTGAAGAGAAGATTTTTCTAATAAAAATATTTGAGTCATTTAAATCATTAAAACGCATTACTAC